CCTCTCCTCTCCTCTCCTCCTCCTCCTCCCTTCTCCCTCTCCCTCTCCTCTCCTCTCCTCTCCTCTCCTCCATCCTCCCACATCCCTGCCGACTCACCTCAACAGCGTCCATTCTTGCAGGTCAAGACTTAACACCACCCCACCCCCTCTGAAACCTCACTACCCACACTTTGCATTTTCACCACCCCTTTCTACCTACCCCTTCTATCTTACCCCACCCCTAACTTTCCCCCAGTTCCCTTCAAACATTCCCCGGCCCATGGCGAGAAGCCGCCTAGGGGAGCCAGTGGGGAGGCAAGGAGAGCAGGAGGGAAAGAGAGATTCAGGAAGGGACCAAGTTACAGATAGAAAGAGACGAGGGAGTTACAGATAGAAGAGACAAGAGTTGCTGCAAGGAGCTGGAGACGAAGAGGAGGAGGATACGAGTGGTACAAGGGACGTACTGAAAGTGAAACTCTGTCTGACATAGTTGCTGCAGACGTGGAATGTTCAGCTTGTTCCTCCAGATCTATTCAAAGAGATCAAAAAGAGCTGCTTCATCCTGTCTGGCTGAGGAGCAAGATGATTCCAGCAGCATACGGAGCAGCGAGGAGTCCATTGATGGGTATTGGGTGAACAACGACGGATTCGACCTGCTGGGAAGCAGCTCATGGTTTCCTGGCATCCTCAACCCGAGCTTGGACAGCAAGCCAGAAAGTGGCTGATTACGAATGTTGGCAAGAACAGCTGTAGCCGTGCCCGGATTTTGTCTCTTGCTCCATCCCAGGGGTGAGAAGGGCATTTTGTAAGGTTTACAAGCTGCGTGAGGTACAAGAGGAAGACATTCTTGCTCACTTGTCAAAGTGACATGTCATTCAAGTTGTAGCTACTCATGTATTTTCATGATTGTTCTTTGTTAGTTTGTTACCCCGTGGCTGTCCATCACATCCCTCCGCGTAGTGCAAGCACCTGAAGAAAGGTTAATAACATAATGTGTAAGGCGATTAATAATCAAAGTAAAACTAAGATTAAAGGTATCATAAAATGCAAACGAATGCAGGCAGGCTGGAAGGCAATCAGGTAGGACGCCAGTAAACATGAGGAAGTGGAAAAGCGAACGATAACTGAGCATGACTTACCAAGTGAAGAGTTGATCCTCCTTCTAAGTTGTAATCAGAAGCTGTTTTATCATCATGCATTTGCTTTCCTCCAAAAATAAGACGCTGCACAACAATCGATGAGCTACAGGGAGAACGAGGATCGGGTGAAAGCAAGTACCTGCTGTGGGGGGGGGATTCCCTCCTTCTCCTCTACTCTTTCCTTGATTCGCTTGACCGTATCGGTTGGCTCGATGTCAAATTCAATCTCCTTTCCTGTTATCACCATCAGAATTCACTCATTTTTTGAGAGCACAGAGAGGGTCCTCGTTAAATTTGGTTTAGGATGTCAAGTTATGAATGAGAGAGAAAACTTGACATTAACAGCAACGTATGAAGAAGGAATGAGATCGCAAGAGAGATCAAGCATCAATGAGTCGATGCATGTTGTCTTTGTACGGCATGCGAATATGGATAAGTGCGGACTGCAACATCGTGATCGCCCATATGTTGCCTCACGACAACATGCAAACGAACATGCACATGCACATGCACATGCACATGAAAACGAAGATCAAAGTGCAGACGCACACACACGCATGTATCACCTATCACAGAATGCACGAACAGCAGCAGAAGTCATGTTTAAACCGGCAGCACAGATGCATCCGGTGTTCATCGGAAAGGTGAACACGGATGGCATTAGTGGAGGCAGTTCATGGAGGAATCAACAGACGGAATGTCAACGATAAGGTCTCTGAAGGCGATATCGAGCTTCATGGCGACATTCGTTGTGATGTTTCGTTTCAAGAGCGGACTACAATCATCATATTCACAATACTTTCAAAAGCAGCTCCGTGGGGTCAACTTGTTGAATACTCGTAATGGCAGTGGGTAACATTCTAACAGGAGAGGAGATGTGGGCTCGATGTAGTATGGAAAGAGCCATACACTCAAGTTGATCAGAGTGCAGCGTCAAAATGGATGATGAAAAGGTGATTTGTAGAAAGAAAAGGAAACAGACGGTGTGTTGGAGTGCAGGTGCTAGAATCGAGGACAGCAATGATTGTACATATACGAGAAGGGGTAGAGGAGGGAGGCGAAGGCAGAGAAGAAGATCGAGGAGGAGCTTGCCTGTCAACGTTTTGACTTTGATCTGCATGGCGGCGGTGCGCGGGAACAGAACGCTTTGGAAGGAGATGCCTTTTTGGTAGGGGTGGGGCACATATTTTCAGGGGTGGGTCATCAAAAAGATGTGTAGGGGTGCAAGAGCACCGGTTATGTTTACAGCAATCTTTCCTAGGAATCACCGGTATCAACAAACACAAGAGGGTAGGTGTCGTGATTGTACCGGTATTTGTGAACTTGCTTTGAAAAGTACGGGTAGGGGTGGGATGACGCGGTATCGAGAAACTTTGATTTCAAACTTTCGCATGGAACTTTGGCCTGACCATTCGGCCCTCAACTTCAAAACTCCGAGAAGTTTCTGGAATAAAACTGTTTTAGGGGGAGCAAACTTTGAAAGTTTCCAAGAGCTCAAAAGTTTGTTCAAAGTTTCAACAACAGGCTCAAAGCGCCTTACTTTTATGAGGTGACGGGGCCTAGGGGGTGGGGTACTTGATGCATCAATGTGTACCTTGTTGTTCCACTAGTAAATTCTGCATATAGGGGTGGGTACAGATTCGATGACGGGGTGGTAGTTCGGGTGGTGGGGGGCGGTAAAACTGAAGGGTGTAAGTCTACTACCCCACCCCGTTCAATGCATACCCACCCTCATCGGTTGTCAGCATTTGCTCACCACCTACCTTTCCTACTATACCTACAGTACCAATCATCTCTACATTAGTACCCACCCATACCCCTTGATGACGCTTACTCACCCCTACCCACCTTTTGTAGACGATTCCGTCAACCCCACCCCCGAAATTTGGCCCCCCACCATATAAACCTATTCTTTCAGTACCCCACCCCCTCGAATTTCACATCATAGGCTTTCCCCACCCCCGTAATAACCCTCTATTGTCCCTGCTCTTGTTTGCCCTGACATCCTCGGCCGCAATGCAGGGGGGCAGGAAAGAAATGAGGGAAGGCGAAGAGCATGTGAGAGAGGCAGGAAAAGAATGTATTGAAACTGAAAGCAGAGATAATTTCCTGCTTTACCTAGTCTAAGCTGTAGCGATCAGTCGATCAAACTTAGATGTATGAAGATCACTTTAGAAATAGCTTGAAGCTTCATTTCCAATCTAGCATATGCTCTTAATTCAAAGGTTTCTCAGTTCGCAGAGCTATGCGCCGATATGATGGTTGGCACCTTCATACGTTCCAGATCCAGGAATTTCTCCTCACACTTTGCTGGCAGAAGCATGTTCAGAGCTGCATCATTGTTCCTCGTCACCCTCTCCTATGCGGTTGCATTCACTCCAAGCTCTTTCATTCCTGCTGCTGGAAGGAAGCCCTTGGTAAGCTCAGGCTGTGTCATCTTTGCTTCTGATGCGTGCGATGCAGGCCATCTCCTCTAGGCAAACAACCCGTTCCAGCGTCGTTGGAGGATTGAAGATGGAGGACTCCTCCTTCCTTCGCAGTTCGCCTAAGCCAGTATGCTCTCGCTTCCTCTTGCTGTAGAGATGAACCAACAACCCCTTGCAGAAGTCGCTCAAGGACAAGGGTCTCTCCGACGAGGAGCGCGCTGCTGCTCAGCAGATGGACTCTGAGGCTGCTTGGGAGGCTGCTCAGGTTTCACACGTCCACTTGCTTGCCTCCCCCGAGCTCACTCGCACCATGCAGCGCAAGGCAGCTGAGACTGGGGGCATCGCTGTTGACTTCAACCCGTACGATCCTGAAACCGGGTACGAGCTCCTCCTCGTCACGTCCCATGCTGACGCCTCTTAGCTACTGGCTGGGCGAGTGGATCTGCGCTGACTGCGGCTACATCTACGGGTCTCGTGGAGAGACTCAGCCCTTCGAGACCCTTGGAAGGTGAAAGTCGCTCGGCTTTGTGCGATGGTGCTCACGTCCTGTCAAGATGGTACAAATGCCCGCAGTGCGCCGGCCCTCGCCGTAGGTTTGCGAAGAAACTTGGAAACAAGGTGAGGAAGATATGAGCAGAGACAACAAGGGTTGAGCTGGATCTCAGGTGGGAGGAGCTTCTGGTGACAACGCTATCCTCATCTCTACTCTCATTGGCCTTGCCGCCATCATCGGCGCGTTCATCTTCGGATTGCAGATCTCGGCGTTCTAAACCCTTTTTCACATTTGTGATCATGAAGACAAGGCGATGAAAGTTTATCCCTTCTTGTCTTCCGGGGTCAGACAAGCTTGGTTAGAACCCCAGCTGTCAGGTAGTGTAAGAGCAAGGGCTAGAGGCAGTGGAGGGCAGGGGGCAGGGGACAGGGGCAAGGGCAGGGGGCAGGGGGCAGGGGGCAGGAGAAGGAAGGTTACTTTGTCTGGATGAGGAGGGTGATGATTCCAGCAACGTATCCCATGGCAGCACCCGGTGCGATCTTCTTGAGGTACCAGAGGAAGGAGATGTTCTCCATGCCCATGAAAGCGATGCCGGCTGCGCTCCCTATGACAAGCATGGAGCCTCCAGTGCCTGCCAGCTGGATGTCAGCTGAGCAGAAGAGCGATAGAGCTGGGAGTGCCTGCACAGAATGCTATGAGGTCCCAGAACTGACTGTCGGTCGGGATGATGGAGAGATCGTACATGCCCATGGCTGCAGCGACGAGAGGTACGTTGTCGATGACCGCAGAGACAACCCCGATGATCATGGCGACTGCCTTGCCGTATGAGCACGAGGAGCGGAGGGGAATGAGGAAGAGGCAGACAGGAGCAGTGCAGGGGAGCAGACGAGCAGGCGAGCAGAAAGAGGTAGTGGTGTTGAGGAGATGGCATACCGATGTTGTTGTCTGGAACGACTTGGCCAAGAAGCTGAGCGACCTTGACGAGAACTCCTGCGCTCTCAAGCGCCGAGACAGCCTGGCGAGTGATGAGGATGAAGGACCCAAGGAAAGAGAAACAAGAGACAAGGAGAGAGGAAGGAGGGTGGAGAGGACTTGAAGGAGGCGGAGTGCAGGTAGCAGTAGGTGAAGGCGGTGGACGCTGGAGGAGACAAGGAGAAGGAAGAGAGAGGGAGCGGGAGGATGACAAGGGAGAAGGGAGAGAAGCAGGGGGAGGATTGGAGGAGCGAGGAAAGGGAGGAGGGAGATAATGGAGAGGGCGAAGAGAGGGAGGAGAAGGCGAGGAGAGACGACCATGAGAATGCCGAGGAAGAAGATCGCGCCAGACATGTCGATTCGTCGCAGAGCCTCGGGGACTTTGAGCTCCGGCCTGTGAGAAGAATAAAAAAGAAAGAAAGGAAAAGAAAGAAACGAAAGCGAAGGAGATCAGCCGAGAAACAAGTTGGGACGGTAAATCAAGTGGCAAGACAGAGAAAGAAAGGCTGAAATCGACCTGTCGTTTCCATGTAGTCTGTCGGTGATGGCCCACACAGCAGATGTGGCGAGGAGCATTCCTGACAGTGACATCAGTTGGTGCAACATGAGCGAGCTAGGAGGTGGAGGATGAGAAAGAAGCCAGGAAGATCAACAAAGAAGAGCGAGAGCGACGGAGAAGGGTCAGGCCGGGGGAATGGAGGGGCGATATGGAAGAGGGAGAGGGAGAGGGAGAGAAAGGGGGGGCGGGGGGGGGAAGGGAAAGAGAGGGAGTAGGGGGGAAAGAGGAGGGAGAGGGAGAGGGAGAGGGAGAGGGAGAGGGAGAGGGAGAGGGAGAGGAAGAGGGAGAGGGAGAGGGAGAGGGAGGGAGGAGGGCAACAACTGACCAGCGAATGGAGGAAGGTGGGAGAGGGTCTTGAACACAGGAACGAAGAGCAGACCTCCGACCCCAACTGCCTTTTCTCAGCTGAACCATGCAGAGGAGCTGAGAACTGACCTGAAAAGATGAGGGGCCCTCCTCTTGGTACATCGCTCGATGATGGCGCAGGTGCCTCCATCGTCTGCTGTGTGTGAGGAGGAGGAGGAGGAGGAGGAGGAGGAGGAGGAGGAGGAGGAGGAGGAGGAGGAGGAGGAGGAGGAAGCAAGGCAAGAGAGAATGGAGAAGTGGAGGATGGAAGTGAAAACAAAGGGGAAAAATTTCTGAAAAGGGGGCAATATGGGAGGAGAAGGGAGGGTGTGAATGGGCGATTGAGTGAGTGAGGAAAGGAAGCAGGGAGGGAGGGAGGGAGGGAGGGAGGGAGGGAGGGAGGGAGGGAGGGAGGGGGAGTCCTCACCTTGCTGCCTGCCGGGAGGAGATGCCTACTGAGAGCCC